CAGAAGGGACTGTCATGGGGCCTGGGTTTTCTCTCCTTAAAGGGGTTATTATAAGGGTTCTATAAGGGCTACTCTAAGGGGTTCAGGGTTTTATAGTATAATTATAAAATAAGAAAAACACCCCAAAAATTGTATGGGTAATTATGGAGGCCCCCATATTTAGCAGACCTGTCCCTGTCAACTATCCCCAAACCCGAAACTCTTAAGACTACCCATAGGCCCCATAGTAGTTCCTTTTCGGGGTTCATATATAGAATCCTATAAGGTAATCCCCAAAAGGAACTACTACGGGTCTCTGGGTAGTTCGCAGGAACTTGACGATTTAAGCGTCACGCTGTAGGGCTTGAGGTTTAGGGGAAGCCTAAACCCCAAACCGCAGGGTTAGTTCTGGGGGCTCAGAGACTTCGAAACCCAAACAACTGAGCCCTGAAAACTGGAAGGTGTAGGATTCTTGTGATTTGTTCTAGGGCTTACCTTAACCCCAAATAACCTACCGTTTTAAGAACCAATATCAAGCAATCATAATAAGGATACCTAAGAAGCTAGGTTTTATAGGATCCAGGTAAGGTTTAAGGAGGGCGTAGGGCTTCTTTTGGGGACCTTCATAGGGACCCTAATTTACAGAACAACCTAGAAGGGTACTGAAAGGGTTTAGGGTTCAGGGTTTAGGGTTAAGGGTCCATGGATAATGTAAGGGTGTACAACAAATAGGGGCTAAACCCTAAACCCTAAACCCTGGATCCGGGTGGCAAGGAGACTGGGAGCCGTGCTGGTCAATGGGGTGGCACGTCTGATTGTGGGCCAAATCCCAGTCGGGCAAGCCTCGAGGGTTTAGGGTTTAGGGTTTAGGGTTTAGGGTTTAGGGTTTCGTGTTGAGGGTTTAGGGTCTTGTAGCATGTCTAGAGCTTCCATGTTTTTTACGGTTGGTAGACTGAGGGGTGGTTCATGTAAAGTTAAGCCTTAGCAGTGTTCTTATGATAACTCTCCCCGTAGTAAGCCTCCCCAAAATGCACCCACCTGTTTCAACTCACATGACAGAAGGCTTTTGCTGGGCGGTTTGGGGCGGAAGGCGTGTGGATGATGATGATGATGATGACTTGGGTTTAGGGCTTGGGCACTCAACAAACAGAACAGGGTTTTTGGAGTATATAGGTATATACTGTTAGGACCATAATAAGAGGGACTAGTGAGGTGCTACATTCTCGAGCCCCGGTAGTGTATTGTTGGACGTAGTAACTTCCGCTAGACAACTTTCAGCGTGCTTGTAAGTTGAGTGATTCCCCGGTTTCCGGGCTCAAGATACTTTCCTCCGACTAGAGGACCATGTTGGGTTTTTCTTCAGGTTTTCAAAGGTTGGATACGATTAGGGTTTATACGTGTTTATAGTATAACTGTATGTCACAGGTGGGATGAACATGAAAGTAGAATTCAGGATCCCTCATACCAGGACACAGCGGCTCTTACATGATCTTATCCTCTTATTGGAGACTCTTATGGGGGTTCCCCGCCTGTCCTTCATCCCACCTTTGAAGCCTTTTGCTTCTTGTTTAAGCCCTCATTAATACCTTCCGCCACTAAGGGCCACAATGGGGATCAAGACCTTCACGGAAACCAGAAGGATATAATATGATATGGGCGACTTCGAAACCCACTGGGATACTCAAATTACTTAAATCATCTCTCAGCCCACATGCCGGATGGCCATGCGTACGATCAGAGGAAGCTTTCCGACCGCCGTGCTGCTGCCCATTGCGAGGCCCCTTGCTCAAATACGGTGACCTAAGACTCGCCTAAGGGTCCAAGTACCCATTATTTAATGACTTTTGGTACTTAAAACCATAAATATAAGGACTACTTGGACCCTTAGGGCTCTTTAACAAAAACCACCAAAACCCCAGACAACAAATACCAGCCCCAAACCCGGAAGCCTCAACCTGAAGCCCTAAACCCAACCCCGACAGTCTACCAAGAGCGGCACCATCGGACCCGAAAGGCGTCAGGTAGCAGTCCTGCGAAAGAAAAGGGACGCCAGGTTGTGGCTGCTTAGAAATTAGAGGTCTAGGGTTGATAAGGTTTAGGGTTTAGGGTTTACGGGTTCAGGGTTGATAAGGTTTAGGGTTTAGGGTTTACGGGTTTAGGGTTGATAAGGTTGAGGGTTTAGGGTTTACGCTTTAGGGCGTAGAAGCCTGAACAGTGGAACGTCATTGTGCTCACCACCTTAACGGCCCTTGGTGAAGCAAAGGGAACCCTCCATCCTCAATCAAACCTCCAACTTGTTGTCGAAGCCCGGTCGGCTATGTAGCTCCATACAACTTGGGCTGACTGAGGGTTCAGGACTCTTGGTTGGGGCTGGGACAGCGGGGGTTCTCTAGCTCAGGCAGCTTTTCCCGCATTCTTCATTCCGCCTACAGCCTTAGTTACGGGGAACATCTACCCAAGCAAAGAGTGAAAAGGTCTCACTGGGCCTGCTCGTCGTCCGCGCAAGTGATGGGGCAAGTGTAAGACTTCGACTGGCACCAGCTGTAACCTGGCAAGCTAAACCCTGAACCCAAACCCCAAAACCCTAAGCCCCAATCTACAAAACCCAAAACCATCCCAAACCCTAAACCCCTAAACCCAAAGACCCTAAACCCCAGTCGGGTGGGACTTCGGGGGGTATTCAGGGCTCTGTCAGGGCTGTAAAGCCTAGAAGCCGGGGGTGAGGTCAACGGGACGACCAGCCTCCTGCCTCTCGAACTGCTTCTATAAGCCCTAGGGGGCCCGTAAGGATCAGATTAATTAAGGTTTTTTGGGGGTGGGATTATTCTGGTATACTTATATTCAGGATCTCAGGAGCTACTTCTCTATCAAGCTGCCTATGAAACTCTAAGGGTCCAGGTGCCCATTACTTGAGGACTTTGGGTACGTAAAACCATAAATAAGGACTACTTGGACCCTTAGGGAAACAGATGTGCGTTTCTTCCCACACCTAAACGCAAGCTTCGAGCTGGGACTTCTCCGTCAAAACTTCTCATTTCCACACGGGCTGGCTTTTAGGGGTTTAGGGTTTGCTGAGCAGCCGTAGAGGTTCGGTGTTGGCAGCTGATGAAGGAAGGATCTGCGTGTAGTTGGGTGTCGGCGGTCAAGCCCCAAAAAGACATAGCAGCCCTGCAAAAAACTGCTCCAGCTGTTAAGGCCCCTATGTTACTTTATACGGTGAGTTGTCTCGGGGTTCCCCAGGAATCTGAATCTAGAGTTTAGGGTGCGGGTTTAGGGATTGAGTATTTTGGGCTTGTACCTCTTTGGTTTAGGGCTTGATGCTTATATACAGTTTGGAAATCCTACGGAGACTTCTTGTGTTGTTGAAGCTTCGTATCTACTCTGCTGCACTTACATTCCACGTCATGTCGCTTTTGAATGCCAGGTAGACCCTAAACCCTAAACCCTAGGCTATAGGGTAACCCTACCTACACCCTAAAGTATGTACAACCACGGTCCATGATTCTGTATACTTCTCGGGTTCAGGTACACCCTAAACCCTAAATCCTCAAGGTCACGAAGCCCGCACCCTGCAGGGAAGGAAAGCCCAATCCGGGGCTCCGCACCCCACTGATCCGTGCACTTCTGCTCAAACCTTCGCCCATGCTAAGGGTTCCTTGAAGGATTCCTTTGAATGCTCCTTTAAGGCCTTCTTTTGGGGTTTAGGGTTTAGGGTCCTTTGGAGATTGATTTAAAGGTTTGGGGCTTTTCAGGTTTAGGGTCCTTTAAGAGTTCCTGTCAAGGTTCCTGTAAGGGTGCAGACCCTTTCTTCATGTTTATAAGGGTTCCTTTAAGGGTGCCTGTCAGCATTCTATCAGGATTCTCTATATTTAAATCCCGAAAACGACTTATAGAAGGTGTTAGGTGTTGCTTTTTTCTCTGGCGTTCGAAGGCATTGGCGAGAACCGAAATGCGGCTTGTGTGATACAATCCGCAAGATACTTCTCTTATTTCCTCAAGATACCGACAGAATAGGAACAGCCAACAACCCCAACCACTCACCGAATACGGCTGCCTCAATATTTTGAACAGGATTTGGGCATTTTCTAATCTAGAATGGGGACGACTGTAACTGGACGGCATTTCCAAATATTCCGAGTCCGACATTAAACACCGTGGCCCCCATGCTTGTAGTGTTTCAAAGGTCTGCGCTGGACATTCTCAGCCAGTGACGGCGGCTAGGGCTTAGGAGTTAAGCCTCCGGATTTCGGGTGCACGGTTTCTGGATGAGGAACGTTTTGGACAACCCTCTTCCCAAGTCGGTTGGAGGCTGAAGCTTCGGATTTCGGATTCGTGGCCAGCGAAAACTTGCTGTCGCTCGGCATCACAAACTGGCAAGCCCTCAGCCCACCTGTGGCCCAAAAGACCTACCTTTTCAAGGAACTATATATAGAAACAGGGAAACCATATTCAGGAACCCCCAAAAAGTAGATGTTTTCGGCTGCAGGCAGGGATGGCTCTCCAATTCTAAGTCTGGGGGTCCCGAGGCTTCTAGAGTTTCTTGATGGCAACAAGAGCTCAAGGAAGGCAAAAAGCCTGAAGCCTTATCAGGGTGTAGGGTTTAGGGTTTAGGGGTTTAGGGTTTATAAAATAGGGTTTATACCCTAAAAAATACCCTTACCCCCGAAATGCCCTCAAATTCCAGGCGCCCCCACTGGTCATTGCAAGGACATCCCGTCGAGCTTGGGGCACAGAACTCCTGGTAGTCCTGTCTCGACTCAACTAATCCTTCTGCGTAGTACCCCAAACCCTTGTATAGTATCCTTAGAGTAACCCTTACAGAAACCTTGCTTGAATAAGAAGGAACTTTACAGTCCCTGATAGCCTTCATCAGCCTTCCACAGCCGTGCAAGGGCTTATGAAGAGTTAGAACAAGGGTTTGGAGGCATGAGGGGTATATCATAGTAGAAGTACAACAGCCTATAAGGGCGTGCCTTTGCTTCTGGTCATAGCATGTCTGCTGTTCCTCCATGACTTAAGTCGTACTACTAACATTGTTACTATCATGTACCTGATGATTTATCTTCCCTAATCTTGCTCAGCGACAAATACACTATTCACCAATACATCAGTACACAAACAAGGACAATGCATGCATGCATACATACGCGCACACGCACATGTATGTATATATATATATACACATAAGTAAATAAACATATATTCATATATATATATATGTATATACATACATACATACATACATACATACATACATACATACATACATACATACATACATACATACATACACGTGTGCGCTTGCATGCCACGTGCAGCAAAGGCCTGCAGGCCACCTAGACCCTGAATCCCTCGAGCAATCTCCCACGGAACGTACCTTAAACCCGAACCCTGAACTCCAAAGCCCGAATATGGGTAGTTATCTAAATTAGGGTCCTTTTTGGGTCCCTTTTATAAGGGTGCCGTACTATATTGGGAACCCAAAAAAGGACCCTAATTTAGAGAACTACCCATATTGTCCTAAACGAATCATCTCAAGACCAGCAATCCCTACATCCCTGAATACTCCCCTAGCCGCCCAACCCCGGCCCCTACCCTCCCTCAAACCTGTGTCCACCCCCTCAAACCCTCGACTCAAAGCGTAACCCTGCGGTATCTCCCAGGGCAGCCCTCATAGGGCAGCTCTCCTAGGAGGCCCCATGGTAACCCCCTAAACCCTAAACCCTAAACTTCCTAAACACCAAACCGCTCCTACAGTTCCCAAAAGTCCCTGTAACGCTACCGAGGATGTGACCGAGAAGTTCTGATTGCCATCCCTTAGGCAGCACCAGAGCTGAACATGGAGGGTGGCTGGGGGGGCGGGGGGTTTAGGGTTTAGGGTTTAGGTTTAGGGTTTAGGGTTTAGGGTTTAGCTTGGGGTTTAGNNGGGGGGGGGGGGGGTCTAGCAGGTTCGGTGAGGCTTCTGGGAATTCTGTATAAGGACTCCCTATAGGGACGACTTGTAGAGGCAGGCGGTGAAGTATCAGGTAGACGGTTGTGGAATGGTTGGTTCTAGCGGTTGTTGTCAACCCTCCATTGGATTCTCGGGTTTAGGCTTGGGGGTAGAACTGGAACTAGGTGGAGAGTGAAGGCAGCTGTGGGGTCATAGGGTTGAGGTCTGGGATTTAAGTTTTAGGGTTGCAGGCTACTGGGCATACACCGGATGAAAAATCCCCCTAGATCCGCCAAGGTCAAAAGATCTGGCAAACATGGCTCAGGTATAGTGTAGTCTAGTTAAAGAAGGGAGCCCAAAGGAGTATCATTGGTACGTATTCAAGCTTCTTCACTATTGGATTTAGATTTAGCACTTTGAACAGACTTCAATATGAAGATGGGGCTTAAAGGCCGGGGACCTCGTCGCAGTTTCCGTTTTTGGGGGGTTCAGGGGTTTGTGTTTTAGTGCTTTCAGGCTTTAGCGGCGTATGTAGCCGGTTACTGTCATGGGTGCAGGGAGGCTTACATGGGGTGTGAAGAGTAGAGGCTGGATTCTGTGATTTGCTTCTAGTTTTTTGTGTTTAGGGTTTACCCACAGGCCCCAGAGTAGTTC